CTCACATCTATAATCCTAGCACGCTGGGAAGCTGAGGTGGGGGATTGCTTCAGGCCAGAGGAGTTCAAGACCAGTCTGAGCAAGAGTGAGATCTTATCTCTACAAAAAGAAAAAAAAAAATTAGCCAAGTGTGTTGGTGGATACCTAACGTCCTAGCTACTTGGGAGGCTGAGGCAGGAGAAGCACTTGAGCCAAGAAGTTGGAGGTTGCTGTGAAATGTTGATGATGCCACGGTACTCCAGCCTGGGGTGAGGGTGGATGGGGTGACCCACTTTAGCCCCAGCGATACAGCAAGACTCTGTCTCCAAAGCACAAAAAAGGATCTTCTTTCATTAAGTTACAATTTTTATGATGCATTCATATGGTCTTATACATAAGATCTGTCTTACAACCAAAAACACTGCAAAAAGCAAAAATCTCCAGCGCTCACAGATGATGTACTCAGTGGATAAATGCCTAATCCAGCTGCTTTCTGTGTAATCTAACAACCTTATCAATTATGTGTACTTTCTAAATGAATAAAAATAATTTTTAGAGAAATTGTAGATAGAATGTACTACTTCTTCAAAGATTGTCTTAATTTTTTAAAAAATCGATAAGCTGACCTTTTAGTAAAGAGAAAGTCTTCGAAAGTATTGGCTAGTTCTGGCCACATACTGTCAAATTTTCCTGAAGAAGCGTGCTGCCGGGCCACAGGCAGCCCGATAGAAAGAACTCTGAGGAGTGAAGACACGGCCAGTCTCCATGTGCTTTCAGAGGGGCAGGAGTACTTCAGACTGAGAGGGACCCTGAGAGTCTGAAAAGGAAGACAGTTTAAGGTGAGTATGAAAACATACACAACTGTACTAAAAAAACCAAAAACAGCATAGGCATTTTCATTCAAAAAAAAAAAAGATATCATTTTCTAGACATACCAATTCTCAGACATGGTCCTCAAATCCTACTGCCTAGAAAGATATACTTTTAAATCCTGTCTCCATCTTATAAATAAGGACCCTGAATAAGTAACAATGTTTTTGAACCTGTTTTTCATCATAAAAAAGTAGGGATATCTCTGAGCAGTTATGTGTAAGACAGGAAACTGACAGTCCTCCAGCTTTTCTCAGCCTGAAGTTACGGAGTTAGAAAATTTTGTCATAGTTCTCTTAACAAAAAAATAATTTGGCTGATGTGGATCTCTCATCCAAAAAAAGGTCAGCGCTAAAAAACTGTACCTCGCCTCTGTTCAGACATGTTCAGATGCACAAACACCACTGCGTTACGGCTGCTGCCTACAGCGCTCAGCGCAGTGCTCCAGGTCCGCAGCTGAGCAGCAACAAGTGCGCACAGCCTGGGTGTGCAGGGGGCTGTGCCACCAGCTGTAAGTGTACTCTGTGATACACACAATGACAGAATCTCCTAACAACACGTTTCTCAGCAGGCGTCCTCGTCACTAAGTGATACAGACTATTTTCCCACCAGCAGTTAGGGAAGGACAGTAAGTACAACGAAAAGTATCATCATTTTGAAGTCTTTCTTATGTTTCATCTCTAAAATTCTTTGAATTTTATATTCTACTCTAATATTTTAATGTACATTGTTTTCCCTTTCCCAAATAGTCCAGTAAAACTGAAAATTGAAGGAGATGATTTGTGTTTGACCATTGAGGGTACAGAGTGCAGCTTCTAAGCTACAGTCAGTGACCATGTACGGGGCCTTATCTTTGTAAAAGACCAACTTTTCAGGTAAGTGGCTTCTATTTATTAAAAGGACAAATTTAGTGGGTCAGAACTGACCCTTTTGGTCATAGCTTTATCTGGCAACTAGAACACCAGACTGACCAAACCCCTCCAGGAACAACCCAGAGCACCATCAATGAACAGTTCTGGCACTAGATTGAAAATTCTGCTTTTACAGAACAATTCTGCCATGAACAAGAAAAAGAGTAGAAAAGACACTTTGATACTTTAAGAACACAAAACCGAATATCATCCCCCTCCACAGCAATTACTGAGCACTCACATCGAGAACCTGGGAACCATGAAGTATTAGCCCAACGTGGGTCTCCTGGAACAGATATGCAGCCTACCCAGAACCTATCAACATTTATCCCCCTCCCGCCCTCCATCTCCATGCAGCCCATGGAGTTTGGAATCAGGGCAAGGAGATGATTAGTTTATTAAGCCAATCAAATCCTCTCCATTTCCCTGGCTACAATCACTCATTTGAGTAGGTATAAGACCAAAGCTGGTCCACCTAAGATTAATTTTAGCAACTTATGCAGCACAGTGTGACAGAAGTTCCCATGTGCCCCCCCCCCCCCGCCCCATCGGACACATAATGCTTTACTGGGCTACAACAGGTGAAGACACACCCAGGACACACATAGCCTGTAGAGAGCAGGACAGAGAGAAGGAAACCTGGTTTTTGCTAAATCACTGGATCAACCAATTTCAAAGCCTTCCTCCTATCTTTGAATTTTCCAATTAAGCACACCAAGAAAATCTCCTTTATTGTTACAGCTAATTGGTGTCTAAATATGTCATTTGCAACAGAAGAATACTAAATAAGGCAGGGGCCATTTTGAGTTTACATTTTCTAAATCATGTTAAAATGACAGTATAATTTACTACTAGCTTTAACATTTTACTGAAATTGAAGAAGTTTAATATTAAGCACAGGTGATCTATTCAATTTACACATTTTTAAAATGTTTAAGCAACTAGCGCAGGGATGGGCCCAGCACAGGCTCAGTAGTGTGTGTGTGCTGAGCTCGGAATCTCAGCTCCCAGTCACAAGGCTCGTCACTTTTAAGAAAGGAAGAGCCTGTCCAAATAACCACAGTATGATGTCATACGTGGCATCACCAAGTGGGAATACACAAAAGGAATCGTTTAACTCCATTAAAAATACAAACTGATTCTTGTCACTCTTAGTGTTCAATCCTGTAGGGTTAAAAAAATAAAGTCTGACCTTATGGAAATTTCTAAGGCCGACGGCTGTCTTCTCAGACTTATTCCAGGTCCCATGACCTCCTTAAACAGAATTTCTCAACATTGCTTAAAAATACACCATGATCTTTTATGGTGCTTTGTTTACTTACAGTGCCTCCCTCTCCCTTTTTTTTTAATTGAGACAGAGTCTCACTTGGTCACCCTTGGTAGAGTGCAGTGGCATCTTAGCTCATAGCAACTCCAAACTGTTGGGCTCAAGTGATTCTCTTGCCTCAGCCTCTGAA